CGTTAGGTGCTTTGCTTTCCGCTTTCCACAAAAGCGTGACAACGTGCCCACTTGCTCTGGATACAAGTTGGGCCAGTGTTGTCTCCCCCTAACCTTCCTCAGTGCTACAAGTAGACACTTTGGGGTAAATGAAAACGTTTCAAACTGTTCAAAAGGTTTTTTTGCTAGTGAGGAGCCCTGCTGGGGTAATGGTTAACCACGTGGCAGCTACATCTGAGCTCTGGATCTGATTACAGCCAGCATTAGTCTGTGGGGCACGCTCTCCACTCACATAGGGTCACAGGAGTCAGAATCAACTTGTGGGCAACCCGTGCCAAGCCCTTTACAGGTTCCAACTCACTCGGAGCAAGGCGCCTGGCTTAAGGTCCCAGTGAGCGGCAGAACTGGGTAGTAACTACATCTAGCCCAACACCTCAGCTCCTGCTTTCTGGGCCATCGCTGTACAATGGGACTAAGTCTAATCACCACATTTAAGCAGTTGGCAAACCTCGTTTCAATGACAGATTTTAGGTGGCATAGTCTTACTAGACCTTCATTCCTGGTTTGGGAAGGGGCTAGGAAACTGCCCGGTTCTCCCAGAAGTAGCTTATTTAATGGATTGTGAGTTAGGGAAGGCGAGGAAAGAGAGATGGCTAGAACAATAAGCCCTAAGCCTAGAAGGCTAGCGGAAGCCCACCCACCCCGCCATCAACTCTGCTCAGATACAGCCCGCCCGGCCCTATCCCACCTGCCACTAGATGGCACTGCTCGCCCACCAGGTCGCACAAAGGAAGCCCAAGGGAACCCTAAAAAAGGCTCTAATTCCCTGGTTCTGAACTCTGAGCACTACACTGCACTACAAACCTTCCCTCCTTTCCTGACCAAATTTTAAGGGGACTGGCCTGATTGAAGTGGCTCCACCAGAGCACAGGAGCTTTTTCTTCCAGCTCTGCCCCTACTCTCCTTTAGGGAGGACTTGAAATTTTTTTAGGGTAGAAACCCAATTAATAGCAGAAGCTCTACTATTAAGAAATACCATTTACTCTCCTGGACTTTTTTTGGTTTGAATTTTAAAACTCCAAGCTGAACTAGTTTTAAATAAGCCTAATGCACTAAATCCGGTTTGTTTTCTCCAGTGTGGCTCCCATCATAGGTTCCCAGAGACTTAAGAGTGGGCCATTGTCTGTCAAGCCTGCAGGAGTGAGAGGCCGGAGGGAAGATTCTGCTCTGGGCAGTGCCTCCAAACAGAAATTCCAGTAAGCTGAGTGTTTGTCCTGAGGAAAGCCACTGGAAGCCAGTTTATAAAGCAGCCAGCTTTCCAAATCACAAGCAGAAGGTTCTGGAAAGGATCAGGATTGGGACACAGCCTTTTACTTGGGACATTTTCTAGAAAGCATGTTGCCACCAAAAGGAACCAAAATTACCTGAAATCCCAATTAACCCATACAGCTTTCTGCCAACTTTCTTTGAACATTTCAAGAAAACCACTATCTGCAAATTTCTTTTTCTAATCAAAAGGAGAATAATGAATGATTGGCCGCCAAACTCATGGGTGGGCATGACAGTCACGTGGGCACCTACAACCTATGTCAGTGCAGACAACATCGCTCCTTCCCCACCCCGCTCCAGTCTCCATTCTCAAAAGGGTCTCCACAGACATGCACCCTAAACTGATAGCAAACCCTTCTTGCTCCAAAGCCCCTAAACCAAAACCAAACACATTCCCACCACCTAAGCCAATTCTGGCACTTGTCACCAACCCCCTAGAAGCCACAACACTCTTTAGTCAGCCCAAAGTAGTTATCAGAAAAATTACTGGTAACCTGTTAGTTCCTCTCTTCAAATAATTTAGCTTTCTAGGGTTGGGGATCTGACAAATACAACAGTAACTTAACGAATCGGTTGGCTAATCAGAGGCACTGGTAGTGTTAGAACCTGGGAAGGGGTGGTGAGAAGCCTTTTACATTCCAACTCCCGCCCCACCCACCAATCCTGATCTAGACTGGGCCTGAGGCCCCTCTAGCCACCCCTCCTCAAGGATCCCTTGCGGAAGCAGCAGGCCCCAGGGCTTCGGAGCAGCTTCCTCTTTAGTCCTGGAATTCTCTTCTCCTAGCCCAAACCCAGGTCCTTGGTTAAATTTAGGCTTCTATTTTGCCTCCAAGTCTTCTGGTAAAAATGTTAGCCTGAAAGCCAACGTACACATTTGGGTTTGGAGGAACTGGTGGAGAAAGCAGTTGCTCAGTGGTTGTTCCCCCGCCCCATTTCTAAATGCTACCAAGCTCAGGAATTTGGGAGTTAAGTCAGAACTCGTGGGCATTTTAACACGTGTGGCAGGTTAATTAAGATCCTTACATTCCCTGGATCCTAGAGACAGGCAGAGAGTTCTAGATCTGATATGCAGGTAAGCAAACTTATTATAGAAGCGCTTTCCTTAAGCGCTTCTGGACGAGGCTTTAGCTGATGGGGTTTTTTTGAGGTTGTAAATGAAGATGGCCTCTTTGTACCTCTGCTCACCCTTGGGAAGCATCAAATGTTTAGGAAGGGTGATAAGAACAGTAATAAACAGGAAATCTGGAACCCAAGCAGCCCAACCTAGGAAGGGAGAAGAAACTGTTAAACTGCCCTTTCCTCTGCGAAGGAGGCTTCCGTACTCCCTTTCTCCTGGCAGATGTTATCTTAGGATGGTCAGTTCGTCCACCCGACTCTGGGGTGGCCGCCAGCAACTGCCAGGAATGGAATGACTTGTAGGAATGTTCTTTCCTGCTCTCCATTTTGAGATACCTTTTCTCACACACAGGTCCCCCATCCTTGTCTTCTACATTAAATTCCCAGAGATGTTCAGTTTCTCAAATATAGGGATTGTAACCACGAGTCCAGCAGCAGCAAGGGTGCCTGTCCTTAAGAGGCTCGGGGAATTTCCACCAATGGTTGTATTCTTTGAGTTTTTAAAACCCCACCTCTGCTCCCGCCGGATTGCGCCCTCATGTCATCTCCTTTTTAAGAGGCAGACATCTGAAACAGCTTGGCTCAGGCTCTACTCTTTAAGCTTGCCGCTTGCTGTCCCTTCCCTCACGAGTGATGCCATCCAATATTTTTCCGTTTGCATTTGTTCCTAAGCTTGTCCACCCCAAACTTCCTTGGGATTTGGAACTCACAGTGGAACCCCAGAAGTAGCCCTGGTGGCATAATGGTTATGCATTGGGATACCATCCAACAGGTCAGCAGTTTAAAACTACTAGGGCAGTTCTACCCTGTCCTATAAGGTCCCTGTGAACAGCATTCACACAGTGGGAGTGAGGTTTGGGTTCTTTGAGTGGAACCCCTGAAGATGAGGGGAATGCATTTTCCTCTGCCTCTCCCAAATAGTCTTTGGCGGGGAGGACAAGAGAACAGGGAGTTTGGCTCTCTCATTCCAGCCTGACTAAATTGGGGAGGCTGTCTAGGCCATCTCCAGACCAGGAGAGATTTTAATCTCTTTGTAATGAAATAAAGGGGAGTGGGGGAGGCTGGCCACCCTGCTGAGGAGGGCCATTCAAAGCAGGTTCCTGTAATAAAGTGATTTAATAGATCTAAAGAGGCCCATTCCCTTCTTTCTCCCACAATTACTTCGTGTGGGTTATCATTCACATATGCAAATGAGTCAGGAGGGGGGACAGATCCAGTGGAGTGAGGTGGAGTGGGGTTACTTGGAACAGGAAGGAGGTGCTTCAGCATTCCACTGCAGGCCCAGCAGACCAGGGCTCCAACTTTGACAAGCAGGTCACCCCATGCATGGATCCCACTTTCCTCCTGCTGGTAGATTACTTCATCTTCTCCACCAACCAGTCCACCCAGCATCTCCCCTCTCCACCCCTCCCCCTCCAGAATACCATCCCTCAGGCTCCAACCCTTAATCCCTACATCCTCCTTCCCCCTCCCCCAAGGTTCCTAGGGCCAACCTCCCTGCAGTAACCCCTCCCTGCCCGGCCTGGGTGTCAACCTCCAGAGCCTGGAATTTGAAATCTCTTCCCCAGTCCAGGCCCCACAAACCTAGCAAGGTGAAAAAGGGCCCAGGCAGCCAACTCCTTTTACATTGGCTGTTGGGGATGGCTGGTGTCCGAGGGCCGCAGAAATGCCTCCAGAATATTCCAGGAGTGTGAGGAAGGCCAGGGGCGGGGAGGAAGGTCCATGCTTGAGGGCAGGAATGTTAGGACAGCAATCAAGGGCTGTCTGGGGCCATAAATGCCAGGCCGAGGAGAATAGGGCCAGAGACCAGCCGCCCTCCACCCCCTGCTCTGCGACACTGAATTTCACCCCTACCGCGCTGCCCCGCTTTAACTGAGAACTTGGGGTTGCGGGCTAACTTCCATCTGGCTCAGGCCTCCCCTCTGGCCTAGGGCTCCGTAGGGATTTCGCCCCCGCTCTAAACTAGACACCAAGAGAAGGGCCCCAGAGTCCCTGAACTGTGCCTGAAACGGTTCCGGCTAAGGAACTTCCGAGCCCCCACATGAGGCCGTCACGGGTCTGCCAAACCCAGCCGGCCCTAGGGCCCGGGTTCTCGGTGTCCAAGGGGCGGGAGTCGGGCTTAAACACGCGGGTCGGCTCTGGAAGCTGGCTTCTCTCCCTCGCCCCCGCCCTCCCAGCTCCAGGGCCTAGAGGTTAGGAGATGGACGTTCAGCGCCCGCCAGGGCCTGAGCATGTGCGTCCCCGGCTGGCCCCTCGCCCTCCCCCCATCCGCAAACACAATACAACCTTAGTTTCAGCCACATGGGGTCACCTCCCTATCCTCTGCCCCATTCCCAGTGGAAGGAGGTAACACGTGGTGAGCCAGAGGGGTTCTCAGAAGGGGGTGGGGAGGTGTTGGTACCCAAGTGCTGATCCCGACCACCACCACGACCACCACACTCCTGCCCTACTCCGGTTAGCAGGCACTTAGAATCGGGGTACCACGGGGTGCACACAATGAGGGGGGCCCAATTTCTCTCCACTCATCAGCCGAGTCCCACCTCCGACCCGCAGCAAAGTTACAAGCCGTGTCTCACCTGGTGCACAAAGACGTCCACTGGGGGGTCGAGCGCGACCCCGGCGCGGGCGGTCATGGACAGGAAGCCGAACCCCATGCGCACGTTGAACCACTTACAGATGCCGGCCCCGTGCAGCAGCTGCGGCTCCTCCACCGCGCGGGCCGAGTCCTCCGGCGACTCCTCCGCCGCCTTGGCGCAGCCACCTGGAGAAGGGGACCGAGCCCAGCATTCAGTTGGGGGCCCCAGAATCGGAGGGCCCCGGCAGAACGCAGACGAGGAGGCACCTTGTGTCGCGCGGGGCCACCAGGCAGCCCAAGAGAAAAGACCTGTCCCGGCCGCCTCCTGCACTCCCTAAGCCGACACTGAGACCGGGGGTGCCCCGAAAGTTTTGCTCCTCTTCCCACGACACGTTACCCCGGGACAGCCAGCCAAGAGGGCCCTCCTCTACTCGACTCCCTCCCTTGTAACCTAGGCGCACACGCCGCTGAGACGCTAGGGACTTTGGTCCAGAACTGGTCTCCTGAAAAAACTGGAGGCCGCAGCGACTTGGGGTAGTCCGGGTAGCCCAGGAGGACATTTCCCTGGTTCCTTTCTACGTGGTGCCCTTCCTGGGTGCCCCTGCAGCCTAAGGTGTCCCCGTCAAGTTCCAAGTTCGAACCTGCAAACTGCTGGTTGGACACGGAGCCCATGGTCGTCGGCTGAGCCCGCGGGCCGGGCCCCTGGTCGGGCGGCTGCTGGCCCCAGAGAAGTCCGGAGGCAAAGGGGTGGTTTGGAGCAGAGGCTGCTACATCTTCCCCGGCACAATAGCGGTGGGAGGGCCCACGGCTTTTCAAAGGCTCCCAAATTCTAAAAGACAATGACCCAACCCCCCGCGGGCAGCCCCCTCCCCTCCCCTCCCTCTCCTTTCCCCTCCCTTTCCCTCCGGCCTCGGCTCCAGCGCCCTCCCCCCACAGCCCCGGTCGCTGACACCTCTGGGGTGTCCCTCCTCAGAACCTGGAGGTTTGACACCCCTCCCCATACACTCTTCGGGAGATGCGACTCGCCTGCCCTACAAGTCTTGGGCACCCCGGAATTGGGGGGTCCTGCACTTTAAGGACACGGTGGGGGACCCCAAGCAGCATACAGGTGGGGGTTCTGGGTGTGTGTGTGTGTTAGTTTTTAAACCACGTGACTGCATACACACGCGGACACACACACACACACACGCACACCACCCCCACCCCCCGCGCAGATAATTATACATTCCAGAGAGTTGGGGGAGGGAGGTGTGAGCCCGGCGGTGCTGGCCAATCAGAGACACAAACCACCTGTCAAGGGAGAAATGGATGAGCCCTCCCCCACCCCCAACCCCTGAGCGCTCCTCCTCTCTCTTCCCCCTCAGGCCTTTGAGCTGACCCGGCTGCTTGGCGCTGACCTGCTCTAACTCCCCACCCCCGTGGGCTTCGCTAGACCTGGAGTTCGGGACCCTGGAAACCTGGGGAGTGGAGCAGGGAGAGGCTAGAAACTGGGCAGAGCGAGTGTCGGGCTGGCCAGGCACCACTTCTCAGTTTGTCTGCAGCCTCGGACTGTGATTGGCTCCGACTTTCCGAATTTTCCCTAGATTTTTTCCGTTTAGATGAGCGAAAGTGCTCCTGATTGATCCTAGGCAAAGAACCCTTCGTTGCAAAACTAGTTAAAGTTGGGCCCCAGAGTGGACCCCAAAGAAGTTTAATGTGTGTTCACCTCCTTCTGCCGCCACTCCAACCCCCACCCCACCGAAGCTGGGAGAAGGGCTGGGTGGAGGCGCTTCCTCCAGTACTCCGGACACTCAGGTTCCCAGATCCTCCCGTTTCTGAATCATCATCCTAAAAGTGCGCTCCCCTTCCCGTACAGGAGTTGGGGGAACTGGAGTAGGTCGGGGGTGGGGGTGGTCTCCTAATTTGAAGGGTAGCCTGACCTTTAGGAAATAAAGAGGTTTGGCTAGGGGGGTGGTTACTGCCCTGGTAGGAGATGGACAATGGCCCGGGGCTCAGTGCACGGCCCTGGCCCTGCCCCTTCACTTCCGGTGCTCAGTTCAAACTGGACAATGCCAGCTCTGGCCATTTCCCCTCCCCCACTGCTACAACCAACTTAAAGGGACAGAGCCGCCTTTTGGGGCATCCGCTCGCACCGAATTCTTTCTTCACGTTTAGGGAACCTCTCTTGCGTCTCACCCAGCACACGTCTGGGTGTGGGTGGGTGCGCGCATACACACCCCTGCATGCATTTGAGAGAGAAACAAGATGATTGGAAGTAGGAAAGAGGAAAACGGGGAAAAGAGGAAGGGAATGTAGAGAAATGATTTCCTTTTCTTTTCTACACGCAGTGGTCTCCAAAAGGTTAAGCTTTGAATGTAAGGGATCGGCGATGGAGCTTTGGAGAATTACATTTTTTTAAAAGACTGTGGCCCTTTGCTAGTCTACCTTTAAAAGTATATGTAATTACCGAATATTGTTATCAATGCCTCAGTTCCCACTTAAGACCCTATCTCAGATCTACCAAGAGTTTTCGGAGAACATCAGCCAAAGCCATTTTTATTTGCATAGTCTTCTTCATCTAAGGGTCTTATCTTCCCGGAAATAACTCTCTTAAATATACTGACCTAGCCCTAAAATCCACGAGCAGGTGATTGAGCCCTAGTTGAGGAAAAGAGAGGAAAAGGGGAGGGAGTCCACGTGGCTTCGATTGGATTCCCGGCAGGCTTTACCAGTGTCTCTGTCCAGGGTGCTGAGGCGGGTGCTCTGTCCGTGGTGCTGAATTTCATTCCAGACTCTGGGTTCCCAGCTAGGATACTTGAAAATGCTTTGAGTTTCCACCTCTTAAGTTTTTTTCCCAGGAAACCTGACTCTCTTCAACTTCCTCTTCCCCCCGCCCCGCAAACTCAGAGAGGTTGACACACTTTAAATTAATGAAGAGACTTTTTTCAACTCTAAAGAGACCATTTCCAGCAATACAAAAAAATTTTAGAGCGGTTCGGGCAGCTAAAGCTCCCCCTCAGAAAAAAAATGGGTAAAATTACTTATGTGGCCATGGAGAATGTGGAAAGAGAAGATAACATTTTCTGAATTAGAGACAGAGTAGATTGGACATTCAACTCTGTTTTTAAACCAATTTCCTTCGTTGTTAGCACTTTCACACGCATACTGGCCTGGCAGTCAGATTGACCATGTTTGAAAATCAGCTCCTCTTTACAGCTCTTCATACACCTTGGTGGCGCTGTGCTTAAAGCGCCTGGCTGTTCACCAGAAGGTGGGCGGGTCGAACCTACCAGCTCTGCACGAGAAAGATGTTGCAGTCTGCTTCTGTAGAGATGACAGTCTTGGAAACCCTGGGGGCAGTGAGACGCTCCTTTTGACATGGTGGCTGCAGCGAGGGGGCCTCAAACTTAACAAGCCAAAAGATGGTGCAGATCCCTTCCGTTGTACATAGGGTGGCTATGAGTCGGAATCGACTCAACCACACCTAACAACAACATAGGATTCCTTTAAGTTGGAGCCTATTGGAAGGTACTGGGTTTTTGGTAACGTAGGACAAAAGAACAATTATTTAATATTAACTGCTAACCATTTGAATCTACCAGCCCCTCTGTGGGAGAAATGGACATAGCTGAATTGCTCCCTTGAATATAAGCACATAGGGTGGCTATCAGTCCAAGTCGGCAAACCAAAATGCAACAACACCCTGGGGCAAGTTCCTCAACCCCCACATGGCTCAGTTTTCTCCTCTGCCCAATGGAAATCATGAAGGCAGTTGGATCTCAGAGATGCTGCAGAAATAAATCTAGATCAGATATGCGAAGTTTTAGAATAGGACCTTAGTCATGTTGATTTTTACTATTATGATAGCTAGTATGCACTTGCCTTTAGCACCTGGATCACAAGCTTGCTTCATGGGGACTGAATCATCCATGGGTTGTCCACTTCTGTATCTGCCCCACATCATTCCCACTTAGGTAGCATAGAAATGGCCCACAGAAGACAGCCAAACAATTTTCTGAATTGGCTTTAATTGAAGTATTAAAAAGTATTGCTGTTGTTATGAGTTGCCATTAATTGGCCCCTGACTCATGGCAAGTATGTATTGTGTACAACAAAACACTGCCCAGTCCTATCCCATTACCATGAATGATTGCAGATCAGAGCTGTGTGACCAATAGGGTGTTCATTGGCCAATTTTCTGAAGTAGATCTCTAGACCTTTCTTCCTGATCCATCCAACTCGAGAAGCTCTGCTGGATCTTGTTCAGCATCATCACACTGATTGATGGTTTGTGACTGCACATGAGAAGCAATAGCTAGATCTTCCTCATGGAAGGCAAGAGTTCGGTTACCACTGATCTGCTATTGCTCCCATATGAAAGTTATTACATGTCATAATACTTATTTTCCTAGGCCACCTCTCTCAAAGCTATTCCCAGAACTGAGGAGGGGTTCAGGACCTCATAAAGATTGTGTAAGTAAAGGCAGAAGATGACTGAGGAAAGGACATATGGCTACCATATAATTGATTTCTCACCCTGTATTAGAGCTTACATTCCAAGTACCCCATTTGCTGAAGACGGTGGGTGGCAGTGAAAACCCAAAGTCCATTTGCAAAGTCCCATCATAGATTAAGCCTCCATTGAATTCCTTCTGATCACTAACTAAAGATGCAGATAAATAATCTTGGCCTCAAGTGGAGTGCATTGGGAAGTGCCCCTCTGAGAAGGGAAGATGGAGATTTGGACAGAGAGCATTGCGGAGTTTCAGACATCTTGGGACTACATTTCCCAGAACCCCTTGTTCCCACCACCACCACCCCATCCCCCAGTGGAAGTTCCTGAGTTTCTCCTGCTCTAGGGCTTTAAAAGTGCTTGGTGTGCTTGCAGTGGGTAAGAAATATCTATGCCAGCCACAAGTTTTCATCCTCTCAAGAGTTTCTAAATCAATTCTCTGCAGTCCAAAAGTAAACTTTTCTCTTGGTAAAACAAGAACTGTAACAGAGCCACTTGTCTCCAGCTATCCCAAGGTGGGCCAGTCTGTCTCAGGGGCTTGTCTTTGTGTGTCTTGATGGAAATCACCAGAATGGGGACAATACTGGGGGGTTGCATAGTCATGAATCATATCCTATCAGTCCTGCCCCATTGCCTGGGTAGGAGGGCCCTAGATCAATCTTTTTTTTTTCCTAGACCAATCTTGTAAGGTCTTCCACCTAACACAGTGTACATGACCCAGTCATGATTTGTTCCTGCTTCTGTAGCCCCACCTGTAACTAATGTATCGATATGCTGCCAATCACGAACTTCTGATGATTTCCTTTGTTCCATATCTTATTTAAGTATCCTGACTGGAAAAAAAAAAAAAAAGTATCCTGACTGAATCCTCAGTGCAATTATGCCCACATCCAAGTGACCTCCCTCATGCGATGACGTCCTTTAAGAGTTAATAAATGGTCTCCTTACATTATATTTGAGACTGGGGTCTCTTTTGTATCATAAAGCAACCCTTGATGTGTTCTTTCCATGTGGGAAGTGGGAATCATGGCTAAAATTTCCCTTTTTTGGGTTTCTCTTCTTAGGGACAGCTAGTAGGTGCCTACTATTGAAAGGTAGGAAGAGTAGGGATGAAGGGGTTGTCTCCACCAAATGCCTCCCCTAAACAAAAATGAGCTGGACATGCCACAACAAAGGGCTT